ATGTTGGCTCTAGGCTTGCTGTATATTGCCTTTACTATGTTTAGATATGTGCCTTGTATCCCTGATCTCTCCAATACATTAACTTGAGTGGATGTTGGAATTTGTCGAATGCTTTTTCAGCATCTAAGGAGATTATCATGTGTTTTTTTTTTTCTTTCAGTTTGTTAATATGGTATATCACATTGATGGATTTCTGTATATTCACCCACCCCTGCATACCTGTAATGAAGCCTATTTGGTCATAGTGGATGATATCTTTGATGTGTTCTTGTATTCGGTTTGCAAGTATTTTGTTGAGTATTTTTGCATCAATGTTCATAAGGGAGATTGGCCTGATTCTCTTTCTTTGTTGGGTCTTTGTGAGGTTTAGGTACCAAGGTGACTGTGGTTTTATAGAATGAGTTTGGTAATGCTCCTTTTGTTTCTGTTGTGTGGAATAGTTTGAAGAGAACTGGAGTTAGCTCTTCTTTGAAGGTCTGGTAGAATTCTGCGCTGAAACCATCTGGTCCTGGGCTTTTTTTTGGATGGGAGACTTTTGATGACCACTCCTATTTCCTTGGGGGATATAGGACTATTTATTTACCTGGTCCTGATTCAGCTTTGATAAGTCAAATCGATCAAGAAAATTGTCCATTTCATTTAGATTTTCAAATCTTGTGGCATATAGACTTTTGAAGTAAGACCTAATGGTTGTTTGGATTCCCTAAGTGTCTGTAGTTATGTCCCCCTTTTCATTTCTGATTTTGCTGATTTGGATGGTGTCTCTCTGCCTTTTAGTTAGCTTGGCTAAGGGTTTGTCTATCTTGTTGATTTTCTCAAAGAACCAGCTCTTGCTTTCATTGATTCTTTGAATTGTTTTATTTGTTTCTAATGGATTGATTTCAGCCCTGCGTTTGATTATTTCCAGCTGTCTACTCCTTTTTGGTGTGTCTGCTTCTTCTTTTTCCAGGGTTTTTAAATGAGCCATTAAGTTGCTTGAATAAGCTGTCTCAAATTTCTTCTTGAAGGCACTTATGTGCTATGAACTTTCCTCTTAGCACTGCTTTCATTGTGTCCCACAAGTTTGGGTATGTTGTGTCTTCATTTTCATTGAGTTCTAGGAAGACTTTAATTTTTTTCTTTATTTCTTCCCTGACCTAGCTGTCATTTAGTAGCAAGTTGTTCAGTTTCTATGTCTGTGTAGGCTTTTTGCTATTTCTGTTGTTGTTGAGGTCCAGCTTTATTCCATGGTGATCAGACAGGATACAAGGGATTATTTCAATCTTCTTGTATCTGTTGAGGCTTGCTTTGTGACCAACTATATGGTCTATTTTGGAGAAGGTTCCATGAGGTGCTGAGAAGAAGGTAAATTCTTTTGTGTTTGGGTGTAAGGTTCTGTAAATGTCTGTTAGGTCCATTTGATTCATGACCTCTGTTAGAGACATTGTTTCTTTGTTTAATTTCTGTTTAGTTGACCTGTTCTTTGTTGAGAGTGGGGGGTTGAAGTCTCCCACTATTAATGTGTGGGGATTTATGTGTGGTTTAAGTTTTATTAATGTTTCTTTTACAAATGTGGGTGCCCTTGTATTTGGGGCATAGATGTTCAGGACTGTGATGTCTTCTTGGTGGAATTTTCCCTTGATGAGTATGAAGTGTCCTTCTCCATCTCTTTTGATTAATTTTAGTTGAAAGCCTATTTTATCAGATATTAGAATGGCTACTCCTGCTTGCTTCTTGGGTCCATTTGCTTGGAAAGCCATCTTCCAACCCTTTACCCTCAGGTAATGTCTATCTTTGTGACTTAGGTGTGTTTCTTGTATGCAACAGACTGCTGGGTTTTGTTTACACATCCATTCTGTTAGTCTGTGTCTTTTTATTGGAGAATTGAGTCCATTGATGTTGAGAGAGATTAATGACCAGTGGCTGTTAGATCCTTTGATTTTGATGTTGGCTGTGGTCATAAGTTTGTGTGCTTGGTTGCTTTTTTTTTTTTTTTTACTGTAGTGAGGTTAATTATTTCCTGTGTTTTCTTGAAAGTAGCTAGTTTTCTTGGGTTGTATTTTCCCTTCTAGTGTCTTCTTTAATGCTGGATATGTGTGTAGGTATTGTTGAAATTTGTTTTTGTCATTGAATATCTTGTTTTCTCCGTCTATGATGACTGAGAGTTTTGCTGGGTATAGTAGTCTGGGCTGACATCTGTGTTCTCTTAGGGTCTGCATGATATCTGTCCAGGCACTTCTGGCTTTCATAGTCTCTATTGAAAAGTCAGGTGGGATTCTAATGGGTTTGCCATTATATGATACTTGGCCTTTTTCCCTTGCAGCTTTTAGTATTTTTTCTTTGTTCTGTATACTTACTGTTTTGATTATTATGTGGCAGGAGGATTTTCTTTTCTGGTCTAATTTATTGAGTGTTCTGTAGGCCTCTTGTATTCTTATTGGCCTCTCTTTTAAGTTGGGGAAATTTTCTTCAATGATTTTGTTGAAAATATTTTCTGGGCCTTGGAGCAGGGAATCTTCTTTTTCCTCTATTCCTATTATTCTTAGGCTTTGTCTTTTTATGTTGTCTTGAATTTCTTGGATGGTCTGTGTCAGGAATTTTTTAGATTTAACATTTTCTTTGACAAATACATCTATTTCTTCCATTGTATCTTCCACACCTGAGATTCTTTCTTTCATCTCTTGTAGACTATTGGTTATGCTAACCTCTGTAGTTCCTGTTTTCTTCCCTAAGTTCTTTGTCTCCACAATTTTCTCCATTTGTGTTTTCTTTAATTTTTGCAATTCTATCTTCAGATCTTGAGCTGTTTTGTTGATTTCCTTCACTTGTCTGACTGTATTTTCCTGTTTTTCCATCTCCTTCAGCTGTTTTTTTGAACAATCTTCTGTTTCTTTTATTTCATTCAGTGATTTAAGCATTTCTTCTCTAAAGGCCACAAACTGTTTGGCTGCAGCTTTCTGTATTTCTTTACGGATGGCCATAATCTGTTTGTTTTTATCTTCCTCTATTTCTTTACTGATGGCCATAATCTGTTTGAGTTTATCTTCCTCTAGGTCTTTACCCATTTTATTTGTTTCCTCTGTTATCCTCTTCATGAGCATAGATCTTAGGTCCTCTTCTTGAATTTCAATTATGCTGGGGTGTCCAGGGCTTCATGCCCCTGGATAACTGCGTTCTGGAGATGCCATATTGCTCTGGCTTTTGTTGAGCTTTTATGCTGGCCTCTACCCATTGGGCTATCTTAGTTGTTTGGGGTTAGTTTCTGGTGGTTCCTGGAATCCTGTGGTGGAGAGAATCCCCTTGGCAGGAAGATGGTTTTTCCTGAAGGAAGCCTTCTCAGTTTTTGGGTATAGTTACTGGATGGCCAGTGTTTTTCAGGAGTTACCGCTGCTCACCTCAGAAATAGAGACCTGAGTGGTAACTGTGTTCCTTGTTAGTCGAGAGGGCTCTTCTCTCACCCAGAGAAGTCCTGAAGACAGCTGCCCTGCTTCTGGGTTTCTTGCTGTAAATTTAGTGATCTGCTGCTGTAACCTGTGTGTCCCGTGGTTTGGTCAGTTTTGTTAGGGATAACTGGTCGCCTCCTGGAGCAGTATCGGGGGGTTGATCTCGGGGATTCTGGGCTTTTGTAGGTCTGAGGTTGGGGCTCTGTGCCCCAGTACCCAAGTGGTAATCTGTGTCAGGTGTGTACCGCCCTCCTGGTAACAACAGGCTATCTGGTACACAGCAGGTCCCTGGTTTGGGCCAGTCTGGTCTGCGGGGCCTTTTCCAGGGATATACTGGGTGGCCTAAGTCCGTCCCCTTTGCTTCCTTCCCTGTGAGGATTTTTCCCGACAGTGACTCCCAGTCTCTGGTGCCCTGGGGCGCACAGTTCTGTCTGTGGCGGAAACCTGGGAGCACAGCAACTGTCTGTGCCCGCTGCTGGAGCCCAGTTCAGTGATGGCGGCTCATACCTGCTGGTCTGTGAGACTTTTTCTGGGGAAAGACTGGGTGACCCAAGTCAGTACCATTTCATTTCCTTCCTTTCCTGTGGGGTTTTCGTGAGACTGGGACTCCCAGTCTCCGGTGTTTTTTGCTACCAATCAGCCTGGGAAGGTGATCAGGACACGCAGGCGTGTGGCTCTGGTCTGGCGACCTAGTGCCTGCGGGACCCGGGATCTCTTCCGGGTTCTGGCTGGGTGACCTGAGCGTGAACCTGACTGATCCCCATGCCGTGGGGGTTTCCTCTCACCTGGGAAACATGATTTCTGTTGTTTTAGGGCCCAGAGTTCAGTCTCTTGGTCGATGTAGGGAAAATGTTGTCCTGCTCCTCAGATGCAGTGTTCTCCTGGTGCCGCCATCTTGTGTCCCCCCCCATATTCTCCTTTTGATTGAACTTTATAAAGGCAGAATAAATTAAAATGAAGGGTAGAGTAAATGAAAACAAATATTTCAGGGAACTCAAAAAACACTGAGAAAGGATTTCTCCAAAAAGGAATTTGGAAATAACCTTAAATAGGCTCTGCTTTTATTCTTGAATTCTTAGTTGTTTGGGATGTTAAGGCCCAGTTTTAACCTTAAATAGGCTCTGCTTTTATACTTGAATTCTTAGTTGTTTGGGATGTTAAAGCCCAGGTTTTACGATCTTTCCTGTTAATAATTCCCATTAATAATAATGTTATTAATGTAATTAATACATTTAAAATCTTTGTGTCTACTAACATATGTAGTTCTTGAAGGTGTCATGGGGCCCCAGTGTCAAGATCACTGGTAGATTTTGCTGTCATCATCTCACCTCACAAAGGGGAAACTGAGGATAGAGGGAGGTTAGCCCATCTGTAGAGCACGGTTAGGTACAAAACATTTGAAACCAAACCTTCAGGTTCTGATCTTAACCCAAGTAGGTCCCGGGCAGAACTTCTGTCACATGACGTCTTGATCTGACAATAAAAAAGTATACTTTTTGCCACCTTCCTAAGCCCTAAGCCCGGGGGCATCACTAACTCACAGGACACCTTTCACACCAGTTCTTTCATGATTTCTAGGTGCCGCATGCCATGGGGACCTCACAGAGAAACTCAAACTCTTGTACAAAATGCATGTCTTGCCTGGTAAGTGAACTACACAGAGCATCATGTGTACTGGTACTCGGGGCCTGGCTGCATGCACACTGGTATGCTGGCCCTGGCTCCACCTCTCTTCCTTTGGTGACATCTGTCTGTCTGTTTTGATGTAAGATCATTCATTCTTTCCCAAAGGCCAGGCCAAGTAGTTACTCACCTTCCCAAATGCTGTCCTTGATTTGATTGTCATTTGCCCAGCTCCAAAATGAATTGAGCCATCTTCGAGAGAAAGGGTGCGAAGTCTTTGGTGGTCTACAGGACACAAACAAGCAATGCAAGGGGGAAAATCAGAAGCCAAGGGGCTTGTGTCCTGAGTAGCAGTTTGTGTCATTAACTTATTTATTTACTTTACTTCTGGATCATAGCTTCCCGTCCCTCCTCTCTTCCCAGTCTCTCCCTCTCACCTTCTCTCGCCCGTGTCCCTTCCCTTTCTTCTCAGAAGAGGGGAGGTCTCCCACGGCTATCAGCCAGCCTTGCCTTATCAAGTTGCAGTAAGAGACTAGGCACATCTTCTCCTATTGAGGCTAGACAAAGTGGTCCAGTCAGGGGAAGGGAGTCAAAGGCAGGCAACAGAGTCAGAGACAGCCCCTGCTTCTGCTCCTAGCAAGGAGTCCCACATGAATACCAAGCTGTACACATCTGTTACATATGTGCACAGAGCTTAGTCCATCCTATGCATGCTCTCTGGCAGGCGGCTCAGTCTCTGTGAACCCCTGTGGGCCCAGGATAGTTGGTTCAGTAGGTTTTCTTGTGTGTTCTTGACCCCTCTGACTCCCGCAATCCTCTGAGTAGCAGTTTTAACATTGGAGGGGACAAATAGGCATGTTGATGCTTGGGTGTCATTTTAAATAAGGCTGGTCTCAACTGGGGTAGATTTATCAAATACTAAAGAAATAAAAACGGGCAGATTCTCACTCACATCCCAGATAGGAGTAAATGTGGGCATGAATAGCAGACAGTGTCCTACAAATGACCTATAAAGTATTATTTCAAAGTCTTTGGGAAATTGTCCCAGTAGAGAGGAAATGTGGAGGGACCCTGGTGTGGGGTTAGAAAGAAGATGAAGTTAGAAACAGAGTGGTGCCCACAGAGGCCTTAAAGGCGCTTCTGTCCTCCATCCCACTTTGATGACTTGAGACTTTTCACCCTCCCCTGCCCTTTTCCTGAGTGAGGAAACTTATTGCTGAGTCCCAGCCCCAACACCTCACGGATGTGTTCCCTCTCCCGCAGAGCCATCCTCCGATCAAGATGAGCCTGACTCTGCCTTTGAAGCGACTCAGTACTTCTTTGAAGACATCACCCCAGAATGCACACATGGTAGGTGATGTTTCTCCCACAGGGACTTTTTGCCTCCTTAGAGCCTGCTCTTATTGGGGGAAAGACTTAACCTCCAGAGTTAGTCAAAGAAATATATGAGTCAGGTTGCCTAATATGGACCTTCACATTTTTTAAGACAAGCAACATTGGGCAGCTATGTCACTCACTGGGTACCACACCCGCTGCACCCTGCTGTCTCAGCAAAACTATGGCCTGTACTGCAACACACTTTGCTTCCCTTCGCCAGCTAGGGTCATCCTCCTTGCAACATTGTCCAGTTGCCATACTGCTATCCACAATCACCACTGACTGGGATAAGAAGGCATTCTCAGGCTGGGGTGGGGGGGATGGCTTGGGCTTTAAAGTGCCTGCCTTGCATCTCCCCCTCCCCCCCTCCCCCGAGGGAGGAGCAGCCTTACTAGGCCACAGATAAGGACATTGCAGCCAGTCCTGAAGATACCTTATAGGCTAGGGTCAGATGGAAGGGGAGGAAGACCTCCCCTATCAGTGGACTTGGAGAGGGCAAGGAGGAGATGAGGGAGGGAGGGTGGGATTAGGAGGGAAAAAGGGAGGGGGCTATGGCTGGGATACAAGTGAATGACCTGTGATTAAAATAAATAAAATAATAAAAGAAAAGAAAAAAAGTGCCTGCCGTGCAAACACAAAGACCAGAGTTCTACCCCCAAACCCACATTTAAAAACAAGCAGGGTGTGTGTAGCATGCACTTAGAATCTCAGCTCTGAGAAGGCAAAGCTCTCTGGCCAGCTACCTTACCTAATGGACAAGCACCAGGCCAAACCCAAGGTAATGCTATTCCTGAGATATAACACACAGGTACAAACACACACACACACACACTCATGAACACATGTGAGAGGGGGTTGTTTAAAAATTGAAAGGAGACATTGGATAACATGTATACGAAGTGCGAAGCAAAGGACAGCTCATGGGATAGACTCAACCCACTGCCTCTTTTGGCCCATGAACTTAGAAAGCTGTTCACATTTTCAATGTTCAATTTTTTTTTTTAAAGTCAGATATAGTGTATTTCTTGCTGTGCAAAAAGTATATAAAATGTAAAGCCCAGTACTGGTAAGTAAAGCCGAAGGCGCATGCTGCCACGCTTACGGATTTATTCCATGCAGCAGCGACAGTACCAAGCAGTGAAGGCAGAAACCACACAGCCTACAGAGCTAAAACACAGCAGGCCTCTGCACTCACTGTCACAGATGCAGCCGATAGTTTTATTGAAAACTACTCAGACAAAAGCAGCACATCCAGACTGGACACACTCAATCCTCTTTTCTTTTTCTTGTCGATACTTCTTAAATACTGGAGCATTCCAACTGTTTACACAGCGTTTACATCACATCAGTTGTAATTTAGAGACGGTTTAAAATATGCAGGAGAATGTGAATAGACTGTACACAAGTATGGAGCAGATCTGAGTGCCTGAGGATTTGGTATCCACAAGGGGAGCCTGGAACCAAGCCTCCAAGGAGTTCCAGGGATGACGGTTCACCAGCTGGCCCATTTCAGCAGTTTGCCAAGTCCTCTTTGTGATTATTTGGTCCACACAGAATCAATTTGGCTTAAATATGCAGGGCAGCTCACTGCATCCATCTCCGAATGTGGCTTTTGTCTTGGGAGCCTAAGCCACAGCCGCTGCTGCTGCTGCTTGAGGTCCCTTCCTACTCGTTGGCTAGCCTCAGCACCTCACCCAAGTCCAGCCCTAACACAGGCTGCCTCTGGGGTGGTTTGTGTGTTAGTTTGGTCCTCTTCGTTCTTGCTGTAACTGAATACATGTAGCACATAGCTGCTTTTAAACCTCAGGTGCAAAGGAGTTGGATGGAGCAAAGGGAGCCAGATTCTGGAGTCATGTAGTTTGCAGCACAGTTGAGGATAGGAGCGAAGACAGAGGGCGAACCTGCGAATTGACACCTAGGCAACCACAGGCAGAATCCTGCCTCTGCGCCTGTCTCTCTGTGGAGCACGATAGTTGCCGCACTGGTGTTGGAGACCTAAGGGGATCCTGTAGTATGGAGCAGTGGCCTCTCACAAGGTCCTGACCACACCTACTGTTCTTCCTGTGGGCAGCCATGAGTCTGCAAAACATTGACCTTGCCTACCTTCTTAGGCCTTCCACCTTTCAGTTTCAGAAAGGATCCTCCTTTTATTGCAGATGCTTCTGTGATGGTCACATTCCACACTGTGCAGTGTCCTTAAACAGGGCTTTTTCAGAGTGCTTTTCTAATTCCAGAAGCTCTGTTGCTTTGTGTTGGATGGTTTGAAATATAGATTAAAATACACAAGATAGGCTGAAAACCTTACTCATACATTAACTAATTAATCATATCTTGGAATTTTGCTTTTCCATACTTTCTTATAGTGCATGTGATTATGCACACATAACATACCCATCAAAACTGAGATCATGCTACTTTTACAGTTTTGGTTTTGTTTTTGCTAAATGCTAGAGACAGAAGCCAGCACCTTGCAAAGGAAGGATTTTCTCACTGAGCTACATTGCCAGCCCTTGCTTTTTTGTTGTTGTTGTTTTGTTTTTTAGTTTTATTACATCTCTTTATTGTGTGTGTCAGAGAGCATGTTTGGAGGTCAGAGGACAATTTGCAGGAGTCACTTCTCTCCTTGAGCCCTGGGGTCCCAGGGAGTGGAGTCAGCCCATTAAGCCTGACAGCAGACATGAGCTCAACTTGCCAGCCCCCATTTTTGTTGTTGTTTTAAATGGCAGTCTCTGCGCTTCGTTAATTATTGTTTCTTAAAATCCGATGAGAATATTGATGTCATTAGGAATTCTTTTCTGAAAAATTAGTCTCATTTCCTTATCCCACTAAAAATCCTCTTGTCCTTGTCCCTCCAACTGAAAAGCTGCAAGGCAAGTTGGAAAGTTAGCAGCCTCTATCTTAGCTGAGGAAGTGCAGGACATACCCTCACAGTCAGCCCACTTCATCGGAGTCCAAGGATGTTGTAGCTCTTGTCCTTCAGGTGTCTATGTATCCTGGAGTGTCCAGTTTAGAGAAGAAAACAAAGTTGTAACTGGGCTCTTCCAAAATCATATTTTAGAGTTGCCAAATTATGAAAAAAAAAAACAACAAAAAAGCATGTTTTCTTGCTTCTACCAGCATTTCTGTTTCCCTGAAAAAATGTTCTTGATCCTGTTTCAAATCACAGAAGACATTTGAGAGGTTCAAGGATCACAAATAGGATGGAGGAATGGAGGGCAATGTGCTGGGAAAGCACCACCATTTCCAGTAGCTTCTAAAGACTGCCTGGCATCCGTCATCTTTTAATTTTTCATTGTACAATAAACCCCAGCTGTGAGAAGTAAACCTGGGGCCGTCCTTCACCTAGAGCTGGGGTTGTCAGATAAAATATGTCCAGCAAAGCTCAAATTTCTAAAAAAAAATAACTTGTTTAGTATAAGTGTACCTCATGTGATATCAGAAATACATTTTGATCAACAGATTTATCTAACATAGGATACTGGTATTTTGTGTGTGTGTGTGTGTGTGTGTGTGTGTGTGTGTGTGTGTGTGT